TAAGGCACTTGACTGCTAACCAGAAGGCTGGCAGTTCAAACCCACCAGCCAATCCTCAGAAGGAAGGTTGGGCAATCTACTTCTGTAGAGATACTGCCTTAGAAACCCAAGGAGGGGTTGCTGTGAGTCGGAAACAACTTGATGGCCGTGAGTTGAATTGAGATTTGATGTATATGTGTATATTTATGTGTGTATGTGTATTCGTACCACCTATCAACACATCCCACATGTACATGTATAAATATGCATATATACACGTGTGTAATATATGGAGGGCTATACAAGGATCCCTGGTGTCATAGTGGTTAAGTGCTCAGCTGCTGACTGAAACCCCTGTTGCTCTGAGGGAAAAAGATGTGGCAGTCTGCTCCAATAAAGATTTACAGCCTTGGAAACTTGCCCTATGGGGCAGTTCTACCCTGTTTTTCTAGGGTAGCTATGATTTGGAATTGACTCAATGGCAGTAAGTTAGGGTTTTTTGTTTTTTGTTTTGTATATGTATAGGCATAAGATTTCACTGGGACTAAATGTTCCACTGCTTAAGGCGGCTCCATGTGGGAGCTCTGGTGGCGCAGTGCAGTTTGTGCTCAACTGCTAACTTGAAGGTTGGCAGTTCAAACTCACCTAGCAGTACTGCAGAAGAAAAAGCCTGGAGATCTGCTTCCATTAAGATTGCAACCAAGAAAATCTTATGGAGCAGTTCTACTCTGTAACACATGGGGTCACCATGAGTCAGAATCGACTCCATGGCAACTAACAATAAAGAGCCGTGTGTGTGTGTGTGTGCGCGCGCGTGTGCGCATGCGCACGTCCATTTGTATGTATATTTATATTTTCAATTTGTTGTTGTTGTTATGTGCCCTCGAGGCGGATCCAATCCATAGCGACCCCTCCTTGGGTTTCCAAGGCAGTATTGCTACCGAAGTAGATTGCCCAACCTTCCTTCCGAGGAGTGGCTGGTGGGTTTGAGCCGCCATCCTTCTGGTTAGTGGTCAAGTGCCTTAGGCACTATGCTACCAATATTCCTTATTAAGTCATATATGTGTCTCTCATCTCCAACTTATTTCTTTGGATTTTGAGTACTAACTTGTTTTTGGTCTTCTGCAGTTGATAACACTTACTACAAAGAGGCAGAAAAAGAAAATCAGTTGGAACAATCCATTCCATCAAATACTTGCTCTTCCTTGGAAGTAGGGGGGAGTACATCAAAAAATACTCCAGCCCATCCTAAGAGGTAAGACTTGTTCCAGGACTTAAAAGTAGTGGTTGTATTAATAATGTTGAATGAATAATTACTAGACACAGCACCTTTTATATGTCCCATATAGCATTAGACTCTTTGTTTATGTTACCTTACTTAATCTTCCTAACAATTTATTAGTTGTAGGTAATGCTTAATTCATAGATAAGAGACCAGAGGTACTAGGTTACTTGCCCAAGGCAAGTTCATCTCAGAGTCAGAATTCAAACTCTGATCATTCCAATGCCCTTGCAGAATGACAATTTTTTTTTTTTTTTTTTTTACTTCCTGTTAACTAGGTTAAAATAAACCTCCTAAGGGCAAATATGGTATACCCCCAGTGCCTAATACTGCTAGGCGGGAGCAAAAGATGAATAAATTATGTCAGGGTTGGATGGAGAGGTTAACTTGCAATTGTGGCCCTAATGGATTCAGAATTTCTGGGGAATCTAATGTCTTTGAATTTTGCATCAATATCCTCTTTTTGATAACAAAAAGACAGTGTTTGGGAACTGTCTTAATAGGAGTTGCCTTCAAATGGCATTGATTGAAATAATCTCTCTCTACACAGCCACTTCTCAGACTTGTGGTTCATCTCCTTGTAATAGAATAAAGTAGCAGTTCTTAAGCATTTTTGTCTTAGAATTCCCTTACACTTTTTTTGAACATTTTTTTGTGCTTCAGGTGAAAGTTTACATAGCAAATTAGTTTCCCATTCAATAGTTTATGCACAGATTGTGCTGTGACGTTGTTTGATGTCCCCCCACAGTATGTCGTCATTCTCTGCATTTCCACATTGCCTTTCCCATTCCCATCCCTTCAGTTTCCTTACCCCTCCTTGCCTTCTCAGTTTTGCCTATTTGTTCTCGTATAGTTGATTGTTCTGAGGAGCACATTCTGCACAAGTGTTATTATTTATTTTATAACTCAATTTATTATTTGGCTAAAAGGTAACCTCCAGGAGTGTCTTCACTTCCAGGTTAAAAGGGCAATAATTTTGGGGATTCCTCCAGTCTCTATCAGTCTAGTAAGTCTGGTCATTTTTATAACTTAAGAGTTTTGTTCTGTAGTTTTCTCCCATTCTAACTGGGGCCTTCTGGTGTCCCTGGTCAGAGTAGTTGTCAGTGGTTGTTAGTGGTAGCTGGACACCGTTCTGATTCTTCTGGCCTCAGGATAGAGGAGGCTGTGGTTTGTGTGGGCCATTAGTCCTTTGGACTAATTGCTTCCTTGAGCCTTTGATTTTCTTCACTCTCCTTTGTTCCACATGGGAAGAGACCAATATCTCTGTCAGGTGTTTTAGATGGCTGCTTACAAGCTTCTAAGACCCCAGATGCTACTCACCAAATAGGGTATAGAACATTATCTTTATGAACTATGTTATGCCAGTTGACCTAGATGTTCTAAGACTATGATCCTTAGCCTCCAAGCCCAGTAACGCCATCCCACAAGGTGTTGGATATGTCTAAGAAGTTTCCATAACTGTACCCCCTATGTGCTCTATGTATGAATATATATGTAATACATAAAATATGTGTATACAAATGCCCATAACTATATATATGCATGTGTATGTACTCCCATCTGCTCTCCTACACCTGTCTAGCATAGGTAGCTATGTATGTAACCACTCACACATTTTTGGTTGTTATTACCGTTGTTGCAAAATTGCATAAGCTGTAACATTTACCACAGTTGTCCTTTATTCTTGTGTATCTCTGTGTCTTCCTTTGCCTTGGTCATGTTGGACTTACCCATGTATTGTATATTGCCTTTCTATTTACCAGAATTAATTCTTGTCTACTATCTAGTTCTCCCTCTCTCCCCCTCCCATCCCTGGTAACCATCTAAGAATGTTGCTTTCTGTGTATAAACCTATTCTTGTCTTTTTATAAAAGTATCATACAATATTTGTCCTTTTATGATCGCCTTATTTCACTCAGCGTAATGTCCTCCAGATTCATCTATGTTATAAGATGTTCCATGAATTCGCCATTATTCTTTATCTTTATTCCATTGTGTATATGTACCACATCTGGTTTATCCATTCATCCGTGGATGGTCACTTAGGTTGTTTCTGTCTTTTTGCTATTATGAGTAATGCTGCAGTGAACATGGTTATGCATATTTCTATTCATGTCACTGCTCTTATTTATCTAGGATATATACCTAGGAATGGGATTGCTGGATCATATGGTATTTCTATTTCTAGTTTTTTGAGAAAACATTACACTGTTTTCCATAGTGGTTGTACCATTTTACAATCTTACCAGTAAAGTGTAAGAGTTCCAATCTCCCCACACCCTCACTAGCATTTGCTGTTTTCTGTTTTGTGGTCAGTGCCATTTTGCAGGGGTGAGATGGTATCTCATTGTCCATTACACTCTTAACAAAATACTTGTATATATATGTTTTTTATGAGTCCTTTATTTTAGGGATTAATAGGAAAATATTCATATGAAAGATGAAATTTGGAATTTGCTTCAAAATCTAAGGGAGTTGGAGGAAAGGAAAACTGATACAAGATTGGTTATGAGTTAATAAATTTTGAAGCCAAATGATGAGTACATAGCAGTTCATTATATTATTCACTCCATTTTAAAATATTTTTTAAATTCTCCATAATATTTAAAAATTAGTCTATGCAATAGCATAAAAATTAGTCTATGCAATAGCATAAAAATTTGAATACAGAAAAAAATCTTACAGCGTCTAGGCTTTTACACAGAAAGTGTTGAGAGAAATTAAACAAGAATCTAAGTAAGTGATACAGAAAAGGGAACGATTCCTGTAGAACTCGGGATAGTTGTCTGCTGCAAGTGTTAAGTTTCTTGGCCTAGGTGATGATTTCATGAGCCTTCATTTAACTATTTATTTTTGTTCTGTATACTTTTTGGTATGTGTTATTTATTTATTATATATACATATAGTTTTTGTTTTTTTTTCTAAAGAAAGGAGAGTGATAGGGTAGCTAATAGAAAAAGAAGAGAATGAAAGCTTTAGCTAATGTCAAGGAGATCTTGCCTTTAATTTTAAGTCTGATGGTAACTAGCTGTGTAACAGGCTTAGATCACCTCATGTTACTTGACTTTTACCTGTAAAAGGAGGGTGATTGCCAATGATTCTTTTTTTTCTTTCCAAGTCAGCTTCATTGAGGTCCGTGTACAAAACCAACATAGTCAAGTACCAAAATTTTATGATTGAATTTCAAAAACTATCAGATAAGAAGAGATTAGATTTTTAGCATGGAAATAACACCACTAAGGTTTTTTTTATAGCCCTTTGCAGTTTGATACACTCTTTCATTTTTGAGAAATATTTGTGTATCTTTCCTAGATGTATTCACTGCTGACAGATTTTGTCAATTCCTCTGCCATAGGAGATCTATTAGGCTCTCTGCTCAGAAAGATTTGGAACAAAACCATCATGTAAAAATGAAAGCCAAGAGATGCGCCACTTCTGTAATCATTAATGAAATTCCACCCTCTAAAAAAATGAAAGTGTAAGTAGCTACAGCTTCTGTTAGTTGCTATAGGTTGAATACATGGTCCTTGTTCTTATCTTTATGAATAAAGACTACATTTTGCTGCCAGTAATACCTGTTTGATTAGGAAGTAGCAGTGATTTATGTGCTTCACAGAAGTTTAAAGAGTAGTTCACTGCTGACTCGGGTTCAGTGGCTGAACAACGTCAGGGTCAGTATATGTTTCTTAGCTTTTTTCTTTGTGCTGTTGCATCAGTGTCGTAAGGTATCTTCTATACCTCTAGGTATCACAGCCATCTTTAAGAGAAGAAGGAAGAGGGGTGGGACTCATATTAGGAAAGTGAAATCTTTTCCAGAAATTTAAGAGGTATTATATCTCACATGCCCAAATTGTATCACTTAGATATCCCCCCTAGTTACAGTAGAGGCTGTGGAAGTAAGTATAGTACTTTTGGCTTAGTACCTTGCCACCCTAAAGAAAATTGAGGTTCTATTGATAAGAAAGAAAGTAGAATAGATACTGGCTGGGAAGGTAATCCATGTGTTTGTTTGATGACTAGGAGTTGGAATCCCACTTCCCCTCCCTTGCCTCTGCTGGACAATTATTACCTTGACTTCCATTGGCTTTCTCAAAATTTAACCCATTGGTATATAAGATCTGATAATGCTTTTGGAAGAATCTTGTGGTTGGGCATGCTTGTTGTCCTAAAGAATGAGAAAAGTGAAGATATATGTGGTAGATTTGGGGGCAGATGGTACTATGGGGTATGTTTTACAGAATTGAGGGGATATTTTTTGTTCTTTTGAACTCAAGTTCTAACAACAGAAAGAAGCCAGAGGAAGAAAGAAGTGCTCATCAAGATACTCCAGAGAAAACCAAGAGCAGACATACTGTGTCTTGTACACCACCTGTAAGGTATGTTTCCTCCCTGAATTAAACTTTAGAGTGAATGAAATTACAAATGGGTACATCTGCAGTCTGTCTGGTGCACATGGACCTTGAACAACCTCCTGAAGCTGTGATCATGGTGAACTGTTTAATGTATTCTGGTGGGTGCTAGGAGCTCGGGTTGTATAGTAGTAAGGCATTCATCTGCTAACCAAAAGGCCAGCAGTTTGAACTTCCCAGTTGCTCTGCAGGAGGAAGCTGCTTCCATAAAGGTTTACAACCTGGAAACCCTATGGGGCAGTTCTACTTTGTCCTGTAGGGACACTATGAGTCGAAATCAACTCAGTGGCGGTGGGTTTGGTTAGTTGGTAAATGCTGAAGCATTGAATGTTAAGAAAAACTTCTTATCACCTAAATCGAACAGTGTTCATTTTTTTCAGGCTTCTTTCTGCCTTTGTAAAAATAAACATACAAATTTTTATAATCAGTGTATGAACAACCTTTGGATTCTGCTTTATTTCTTTCACACGACACGATTTCACTTTCTTTTTCCTGTGCTGTTACAAAATTTTCACATTATCCTTTTTTGAAAGATTGTTAGTATTCTATCAAGTTACCTTAACCATCTTCTATTAAAGTTTTTACTGTTATAAGTCAGTGAGCACCTTTGTAGTCAGAGCCTTTTCTTTGACTCGTTTTCTCAGGATTCAGAAATTCCTTGATCAAAGGGTATGACCAGTTTATAACTATCAATATTTATTACCAGTTTTATTTCTGAAAGGAATGTACTCATTTACAATGCCACCAGCTTTGATGTGAATATTTTCATTACCTCAGTATCATCTACATTGCTTTTTTTTTAATTTAAACATTGTTTCAAATTTAGTTGATATAAAATGGCATCAATTTATTTACACTTTTATTTATTCAACTGCTGACAAGATTGTATTACTGTTACTTCAAACATCTTTTGGCTGAATTGTCTCTTTCTTTCTTTACCTCTGGTCTTAGTGGTATTCTCATTAATACTAAGCACTATGGTGAGCTGTATGTGTTAGGCACGTCAGAAACATCTGATTTAATAGTCACAAATGTTCTGTGAGGATAAGTATTTACATTTCTCATTTTATAGTGGACAAAACCGAGAGGTTAAATATTTTTCTCAAGATTCTAGGCAGAAAATGAAATGATAGGGTTGGAGTTTAAACCATGGTTGTCTTCACTCCTAGTGTGTTCTTTCTGTCATACTATATATTTTATGTGTATTAATGCTTTGCCAGATTTGTTGCAAATAGTTTCCTCATTCTATTGGTCTTTTAATTTTAGTTTGTTTTTGTGGCGTAGAAGCTAATCATTATATATATAGTCAGATCTGTGAATCTTTTGTAATTTCCTCTATAGTATATTTTAGCTGCTTTTCTTTTGAAATTTTAAAAATATTTTGGTGTAAATTGTGCATCTTAATTTTATAGTGCTACCTAATTTTTTATTACAGTGTCATGAGTATCAATTCATGAGATAACACCTTTTAGGTTTCTATGATTATTGTATCACAGATTAAAAAATCTATGTAATGCCTTTAGATTCTTTTGAAGTCTGAGCCCCTTTCTCTTTTCCTCACCTCTCCTTTACTGATTTGTCTTCTAGGCAAAAGGTTCTAAAAAGTACTGAGGAGCAAGAGTTGGAGAAGAGAGCGAAAATGCAGCAGGAGGTGATAGAAATGCGGAAAAAAAATGAAGAATTCAAGAAACTTGCTCTTGCAGGAGCAGGTCAGCTTGGGTCTGGTTAAGTCTGATCTATGGGGGCTGTTTCACATAATCCTGGTAGGGTTTCTGAGATCTGTAAAGTGAAAAAGTCTTTTTAGATCACTTGTTGTTGTGAGATGTTGTCGAATCGGTTCTGACTCGTAGTGAGCCTGTGTGCACCAGAACCAAACACTGCCTGTCCTGTGCCATCCTCAGGATGGTTTCTGGGTTTGAGCCACTGTGTCAGTCTGTCTCATTGAGGGCGTTTCTCGTTTTCACTGACCCTCTACTTTACCTAGCATAGTGTCCCTGTCTAGGGACTGGTCCCTCCTGATAACATGTCTAAAATATGTGACATGAAGTCTCATCATTCTTGCTTCTAAGGAGCATTTGGGGTGTACTTCTTCCAAGACAGATTTGTCCATTCTGGCAGTCCATAGTCTATTCAGTATTCTTCAATGGTAGTTCAGTAGTCAGCATAAAAAGATATGTTTGTTTAGAAGCCTGAACATAGGTTCCATTTATATCCCAATGATCATCCCCTAGAAAGTTTTCTATACATTGGCCATTTTTTAGAGCACACTGTTCCTATAGAAGTCATATCACAACCTACCCACCCCCTTTTTTCTTTGAGACTTTTTCTCATTTCTTCAAGTAAATTTAATCTGCCCCCCCCCCATTTCTTTTTTTGTATTAGAAAAAGAAGAAACTAGGATTGAGATGGAATCTCTCAATTTCCCAGTCCCACTGCCCTTTTCATCCTAAGCAGAGGAAAAGAAAGCTAAGGCAAATCTAGGTGCAGTTATGGAGAAAAGATATGACTGAGGTTGCTGACGTTGGGGCCAGAATTCTGTGGCATAGAGTCGTAATTGGTGGACTCAAAGCCATAAATCCCTGCTTACTGGGTATAGAAGTTGAAAACCACCCCCAAAATTTAGAAATGTTAAGTGTGCTTTTAAAGTCAATCCATAGCTTTTTCTGTCAAAAGTATCCCACTTACTCTTTATCTCCAGAGTGACGACCGCCCCCGTGAGATGGGATTCTTCTCTTTGGTATACTTCTTTGCAGTTTGCCTCTGAGGGAAGTCCACAAACTCCATAGCACTTTGGGAATTGAACACATATATTAGTGCCTTGAGGACTATCCCAAGTTTTACATGTAAATAGTGACCAAAGTTAGAGCCATGGTAGTAGAAATACCAAAAGGACTAGAGGAAAATGACATTTATTGATGTTTTTTATCCCTAGTGTTACCTGTATATTTCACTCTGCTTCTCACTCAGGGCAACCTGTGAAGAAATCAGTCACCCAGGTAACCAAGTCAGTAGACTTCCACTTCTGCACAGATGAAAGAATCAAACAACATAAGAACCAGGAGGAGTATAAGGAGTTGAACTTTGCATCTGAACTGCGAAAGCATCCTCCATCTCCTGTGAGTGGTTGATAGACTAGATGACTATTCCATTGTTAGTAATTCAGTTGGGATTTCAGGTGTGGTATTTATGGTCACTTTTTGTAATAGTGTAATTAAGAGGAGCATATGTTTTTGCATTAAGATACCTCTAAATCTTTACGTTGCTCCCTGTAAGCTGTATGATCTTGGACAAATCACTCTATCTCTCTGGGAACCATCTTAACACGTTGCTGTGAAAACTAAATTGTGAACATATGTAAAACATGTAGTGTTATGTGTGACAAATTGCAGAAAGGGGCATTTCCACTGTACAAAATTCTTAAAAACCTTGTGTGTGCAGATTTCTGTACAAAATATAACAAGGCTTATGGGAAAAATGGGATTGTGTGATTTTGTTACCAGACCACCAGGGGCAGATTACCTGATCAGCAAGATAAGTATGGGCTTATTTGTGCTTACTTAGTGAACAATTTTATGTGGGTTTCATATGAGACTTCACTATGGATTATCAAGTAAGCACAACTAAGCCCATGCTTACATTGCTTATTGGGTGCTCTGTCCCTGTCTGGAGTTATAAATTTCAAAAGAGACTTTGATTCTATAAGAAGTTGGGAAAAAGACAGATGCCAGGCAGAATTTTTGATTAGTAAGGAAGTATACGTGAGCCCATGCTTACCTTGCTGATTGGGTAATCACACACTAGACCACTTTGTTGTTGTTATGTGCCACCGAGTCGGACCTAACTCATAGTGACCCCTCCTTGGGTTGCCAGGGCAGTATCACTGTGGAAGTAGATTGCCCAACCTTCCTTCCCAGGAGTTGCTGGTGGGTTTGAACCGCCAGCCTCTTGGTTAGCAGTCAAGTGCCTTGGGCACTGTGCTATCAGAGCTCCCCAGTAGACCACTAGCAAAAACGAAATAAGTAAGTGAAAGTTCTTAGTACTAATGGTGTCTACTTGCATTTGCAGTCAGCCTCATTGTTAGTTGAAGTCAATTCTTTGCTATCTTAAACCCTATGTTTGTGCTTCTTCTTTTGAGATATAAGTACTTGAAGACTTTTGCTTTCAATCAGAGACCAATTTCATCAAAATTAATGATCCCAAGACGTGTGGAGAGATTCTCAATCAGGCAGCTGCCTGATCTGCTCCAGACTCAGAAGCCCAATCAGTTTTTTAAAAAATGTTGTTGGAGGTGGGATGCCTTTGTGGCTTCTCCCCCATCACTCCTTCTAGTACTCTTGATTTCTTCAAAATGTTAATGTGCTTGGTAGCCCTTGCCATGTGCTGTTGTAGAACAGACCACATTTCTTAAGTACTACATCCTCTTTTCTTTTATAAGCCTTGCTCAAGGACCTAACAAATTTAAAAGGAATAATCTGTGTTTTACACAGGTCTTCTTTCCTGTGATCTCTGTCCTGAATCTGTTGTTTGTGATATATTTGAGCTCTTCCTTAACATTTTCTTCATTTGGGGAACAAATTCTCTGTTTACAGGCCCGAGTGATTAAGGGATGCACCATTATCAAGCCTTTCAATCTGTCCCAAGGAAAGAAAAGAACATTTGATGAAATGGTTTCTACATATGTGCCACTTGCACAGCAAGTTGAAGCCTTCCATAAACGAACTCCTAACAGATATCACTTGAGGAGCAAGAAGGATGAAATTAGTAAGTTTCCTACCAACATTATAGCTGGCTAAAATCTTCCTGAGAATTTTCTTTGTCTGTATCTTAGGAACAAATATGCCTTTAGTTGAAATCCTAGTTTTTGCACTAAAGAATGGATGTGTCACACAGTGCATTTTTTTATCTATAGAAAATGAAGGCATTTCATTCCATCAAGGTTGTGTGCTTTTTGTTCAGTGATTCAACAAGTGTTTTACTGCTGTAAACTATGCACTGTGCTGGGTTGCAGGAGTAACCAAAACCAGTTGCTGTGGAGTCAGTTTTTCCTCATGTAATCCCATGTGTGTCAGGATAGAACTATGCACCACAGCTGATTTTTCAGAAGTAGATCACCAAGCCTTTCATCTGAGCCACCTCCAGGTGGACTTGAACCTCCAGCCTTTTGGCTAGCAGCCAAGTGCGTTAACTGTTTGCATTACTCTGGGGCTCCATAGGGTGTAACCCGACTCACTGCCGTTGAGTCGATTCAACTCATAGCAACCCCTCTTTGGGTTTCCAAGGTGGTATCTCTATGGAAGTAGATTGCCCAGTCTTCTTTCTGAGGAGTGGCTGGTGGGTTTGAACTGCCAGCCTTCTGGTTAGCAATCAAATGCCTTAGGCACTATATCATGTCACCAGAACTCCTGCAGGGTGTGTAGAAGTGAACAAAACGGACTTGATGTGACTCAAGCTTCTAATACAGTAAGACAAATAAATAAGTCATAACAAATAATGGTAGGTGCAGTGAATGTGGAGGGAGATGTAAGAGTCAGAGGAGGTGGGGGATTGGGAGAGAGTGTCTGGGTGATGGAAAGTAACTGGCAGAGATAAAGAAGCTGAAGGCACTAGAGAGAGAGGAGGTAACCAATAGGTTAAGTCCCTGAGCAGGCAGGCTGGTAGGGTGGAGATACTTGGCACAGGTGATGTGATGTGATTGTTCTTTGAAAGGAGGATGGAAGAGTGAAGAATGGTGTGAATGCTGGTAGGTTTGTAGATTTGGTGGTGAGCAGGTGAGGGATTCTGATCTAATAGCTTCTATCTTTATGAAGATTATCTACTATAAGAAGTAGGGTAAAGAAGTTTGAGGAGTGGAGGAGGTATAAAATAGGTATTGAGAGGATAGAGCTAGCATACTGGACAAAGAAAATCGGTCGGTTGTTTTGCCTTTGAGGTTCTCTAAACATTTTCTGCCCTTCAGTAGGCATTGTTTGGCCCTGTGTTTTATATAGCCAGACATGTTCAATGTTGTTATTATGTTCTACTAGCCAAAATAGTTCTGTCAAATTGTATATTGTGAAAAGAATATGTCTTTTTTTATCCAGTTGAAAATTTAAATATTAAACATGATTTTTCAAATAATACATGTAGGAGTCCTTGGCTGGAATCCTTGCATGGCATAAATGATTATGCGCTGGACTATTAACCAAAGGTTGCTGGTTTGAGCCCACCCAGAGGTGCCTGAAAAGGAAAGCCTGGCTAACTGATTCCAAAAGGTCCGGGCACAGTTCTTTGCAAAACATGGGTTTCCGTAAGTTGGAATCAACTTGCCAACAACTGATTTGAGTCTGATAGGGGCAGTGGTGGTTCAGTGGTAGAATTCTTGCCTTTCGTGCAGGAGATCCAGGTTTGGTTCCTGGCACCTGGGTCTGGTGCACCTCATGCACAGCCACCACCTGCCTGTTGGTGGACGTTTGTGTGTTGCTGTGAAGCTGATCAGGATTCAGTGGCGCTTCCTGACTAAGATGGGCTGTGAAGAAGACCTGGGGATCGACTCTGAAAATAAGCCAATGAAAACCCTGTGGATCACAGTGGTCCAATACCCAGCTGATCATGGGGATAGGGCAGGGCTGGGCGGCATTTTGGTCTGTTGACTGTGGGATCTGCATGTGTGAGGGGCTGACTCAATGGCAGCCAACGAGAATCTTAGAGTTCTGTTTCTTGTGAATAGAGAGAAAAATCATTTTTGTAATTTTCATTTAAAACTTTGTATAGTTATAACTAAATAATGGTTATATAAGGAGCTCTGGTAGCATAGTGCCGAAGGCACTTGACTGCTAACCAGAAGGCTGGCGGTTCAAATCCACTAGCCACTCCTCGGAAGGAAGGTTGGGCAATCCTACTTCCATAGTGATACTGCCTCGGAAACCCAAGGAGGGGTCGCTATGAGTCGGGGCCGACTCGATGGCAAATAACAACACAACAACAACAACAATGGTTATATATATATTTGAAGCATGAGTTAGTTCTCAAATTGGTAGATTTGTTTTTCTGTCTGCTACAAGGAATGCCTGGGTGATGCACATGGGTTAAGTGCCAAATTAGTAACCAAAAAGCTGGAGGTTCAAATTCATGTAGAGGCACCTTCTTAGTAAGCCCTGGAAACTTTTTCCAAAAGGTCAGTCTTGAAAACCCTATGGAACACTTCTACTCTGAATATGTAGGGTCACCATCAGTATGAATCCACTCTATGGCAAATAACAATAATCTGCTACTGTTATGCGATAAAATCTAAATTAGAAGACTCATTCTGTATAATTATGCAAATTGACAAGGTTGTCCCTAGCCGGATAAATCAAGGATCTATTTTCTAGGAAAGGTCTTGGTGGTTTTAATATTGGTGCTTTGACATAGCTATTTTGCTTTCTCCATTTGAGTTTCTCTGAGGGGCAGTCTTGATGCTTTGTTGTAGATAATTTCAGGGAATTTGTAAAATTGGGAGTAATTTACAGTATTGGTCTTTAGAAAGGTGTTATTTTAAAGTTGGAATAAGCATTAATTTATTTGCCAATAACAAGCGAAATAGTTGGGATTGTCAGTGGGAAAGAAGTAAAGACCTGTGCAATGATAAAGAGCCCATCAGACGAGAATAGATTTTAGTTCAGAAGATGACAACAGAGTTTACCCAAAGGCTACATTAGCCTTGTTCCTCAGTAGAGACCGATAGGGAAGGAGGGACTGAATGTTTGCCAGGCGTGAGCTAAACTGAACATGGAGGCTCAGCTACTCTGTCTTCTTTATCTATTTTTGGGCTGTTTACACTTACAGGTAAACTAGGTTTTAGGGAGCCAGTGAATATCTGTGATCTTGGTTTGCAGGCCTGTTACCCTCCAAATCTGCTGCAGCCAAGATGTGCAGAGACCCACAGACTCCCGTACTGCAAACCAAACAGCGCACAAGGCCCGTAACCTACAAAAGTGCAGCTGATCAAGAAGCTGAGCTGCTTGAGAAGCTACAACAGTAAGTCCCACTGGCAGTGTTTGAGGAAGGGTCCAAGAATCCACCTACTTTCTTTTCAGTTCTGGAAGTGGGGACAGTTGCTGTTTTTCTTCTCGTGGACATTTATGGGTTTTGAGTTAGTAGACTCTGCAGGCTGTGCCCCTGCCTGTGTGATAAAAAGACTGAAGTTGGTAATATGGAGATGTCCTGGAGTGTAAATTGGTTTTTAAAAAAAGGAAAAAAAAAAAAAAAAACTAATACAGAGATTGGGGTGGGAGAACTTAAAATTTCAATTAAGAAGACTATTAAGGATTGTCCTCTGAGATTAGTTCAGATAGATCCCACTGTTTTATGGTTACCCAAGGGATTTTTATACCTCTTATTTAAGTGGAGGAAATTGGAAATTAATGTGCTTAGACCTAGAGTTTATCTCCTATGTTCTCCTTCCATTGCTTTTAGATCTTTTTTGAGAGGGAGGAAATTACCATATAAAGAGAAGCTTGAATCTTGAAAGTGGTGGAAATGTTAAGACTGTCTCATTAATTCTTTGCTGTAGACATGAAGATAATGACTGTGGAGAGAGTTGGGATTTTGCTGGATAGTCTTAATTATTATTTTTCTACTTTTGGCCCACCTTGTTGTTTGTGTAGTTTTCATGTTATTTAAATTTTTTTTGTGATTGTCATTAAACTCCCACCTTACAGATACAAATTCAAAGCACAGGAACTTGATCCCAGAATTCTTGAAGATGGGCCCATTTTGCCCAAGAAACCACCTGTGAAGCCACCCACTCAGCCTATTGGCTTTGATTTGGAAATTGAGAAGAGAATCCAGGAGCGAGAGTCAAAGAAGAAATCAGAGGAAGAACACTTTGAATTTCATTCCAGACCTTGCCCCACCAAGATCTTAGAAGATGTTGTGGTAAGAATGGTCATGGCTCTGCAGGCTGGCAGAGGTGTCCTGCTTATGACCGTCTATGCGGGGCATAAATATTAAGAGCTGTAGATGATAAGGAGACAGATTAAAAGTGGATTTTCCTCTCAGGAAACTTAAAGTCTAGTAAAGGAAACAACATGTAAATAATATAAAAAGTTACTGCAATGCTCTGAGAGAGAACAATTAAAAGTACTGGAGGAGTTTAGAGAGGAAAGTGATTTCTTCCAGGTTCAGGGAATACTTTGTGGAGGAAGCAGCATTTGACCTGAGCCTGGGCGATATGTAGTAGTAGTCATCGTCATTGTCATCATCATCATAATAGCTGGCACTTTTACTGTGTGGCAAGGACATAGTAAATTAGCACATTAATTTTGACAGCAACCTCTTTGGGTAGATTACTTTAGTCACATAAGTTTCAGATGAGGTATTGAGGCACAGAGAAGTTCAGTAACTTTCCTAAGGCATTCATCTAGAATATGGTAGAGCTAGGTAGAAATGTACTCTGGCTCCAATATATGATAAACTTTGGACTTGCAGAGATGGCTGGGCAGAATATTCCAGGCAATAGCCATAACATGGGAAAAAAAAGCCTGAAGAGCGCCTACTGGGAACTATGGGTAGGTCAGTTAAGCTGGAGAGAAGCATACAAAGGGGACCAGCTGGAAACTAGGTTAGAGAAGTGGCTCAAAAGTGGATGGACCCACAGTCAGGGTTTTGGACAAAATAATAGTGATCGAGAAGAGCTGCCACAGTCAAAGAGAATAACAATGGAAAACACCTGCGAAGTGTGAAGGTAGTTTTTACATATATTTCCATGCAGATGGGGAACCTTCCCCCACAGTTTGGATTGACCTGTGTCCAGGTACTAAAAGCACTCCATGTTTTTTCTGTCTTCTTTCTTTTTGCTTGTCTTTTAGAGTTTTAGGTGGAACTGTACCAGAATATACCTTGAACTGGGTGCCTACTTTTGTTTATATGATTTTCTTACACTTAAGTCAAAAGCAACCTTAAGTTTATATTTTCCAGACTTTTAAAAAAGCATAATTAATATCCTTTTTCAGTTGAGAACTTCTACATGTGAGTCTTCTCCTATTCATAGTGCTCTTTTGCTGTGCTGTATGGCATAGTGGCTAAAGCACTTGACTGCTAACCAGAAGGCTGGCGGTTCAAACCCACCAGCCACTCCTCGGAAGGAAGGTTGGGCAATCCTACTTCCGTAATGATACTGCCTCGGAAACCCAGGGAGGGGTCGCTATGAGTCGGGGCCGACTCGACGGCACATAACAACAACAACAACAAATGTGTACTATAGGCTGAACACTGTAACCCCCCTCCAGGTGATTAGTTTCTAAGAGTGTACCCCCTTTGTCATTACCCAGTGAGGAAACAGTACCTGAATACAAGGGAAATGCAGGTTGTATGCAAACCTCAGAATCCTGGAACCAGAGGGATTCAATGTTTTTTACCGCAAGGAAAGGAAAGTGGAGGGTAATGTCTTCCTCAAGACTTCTGTAACCTTCATTTGCACCTTTCTTTAACACCTTATTTTTATCAAGTTCCTGCTCCTCCCCCTATGATTGTTGTTTTTGTTTTTAATGGTAAAATAACCTGCAAGGTTTTGCTTTTAAAAAAAAAAACTAATTCATTTGTGAGTCTCAGAATTTTTACTGTATCTTTATTCCTCTTCTGTGTGTATCAGTACTGACTTTAAATATTTTTTAAATCAACCATTTTTTTTCTTAATTAATTTATTTTTATTGTGATTTGTGTGAAAGTTTACAGAGCAAGTTCACTTTCCATACAGCAGTTCACACACACTCTGTCTCATGACATTGACTACAATTTATCCCAATGCAACACCTCCTCTCCCACTTCCTCCTGATAGTTACCTCTTCCCTGTATCCATATCTCCATGCACTTTTGCCCCCTGAGCTGTCTCCCTGTGCATAAACAGCCCTTCTTTTTCCCATGATTGTTCTCTCCAAGGAGTATATCTACCTCAGGTACATGTTTAACTCTTATGCTTCTCTTTTGTTTGGCTGGAAGCAATTCCAGACCTGAAGGGCAGCTAGGGACCACAGACTCAGTGATTCCACCAGGCTCTATCAGACCAGCAAACATGGTCCTTTTTTTCCCAAATGATTTTGAATTTTGTTTCACATTGTTCTCCTTCTCTATCCAGGATCTCCTACATAGATCCCCCTCCAAGTTGTTGTCAGTGGTAGCCAGGCACCATCTAGTTCTTCTGGTCTCATAGTTGTATAGGCTGAGGATTGCATGGTGTACCAGTCATAAGGACTAATTGTTTCCACGAATCTTTGGTTTTCTTCATTCTTCTTTGCTCTGTACGAGGAGAGACCCATTGTTGCATCTACATGGCTGCTTGCAAGCTTTTAAGATCCCAGTTGCTACTCGCCAAAGTAGGAGGTAGAGCAATGTTTTGTGCAGTATGTTATGCCAATTGAGCTTGATGTCCCCTGCGACTATGGTCCCTCTGGGTAGCTGGCTGTGACCAAGCAATGACCATAACCTTGCCCCTTGTCAGCTCTACTATACCTCTGGGAATTCTTACAGAACATACAAATACACTTGTAGAACCATTTGTCTGCCAACCCTATGCATGGTCTTGGGTACATTCCCCGCTTCATAGACATACCTAATAGTTCAACCTGTCCACCCATCTATCCACTCATATACCCGTGTTTGCCTTCATTGACAGCACAGTACTATATGTGCAAAAGGGTTCTTTGTTGTTTGTACCTCCCATGTACCCCTCTATGACTTCCTCTTCCTCAGTGCCACCATATTGATCACTCTACATTGCTCTTCTCTTCACCCAAATCAATACTTATCTCTATCTATCGAACAGTGTTCCTTATCCTACCCTCCCACCCCTGGTAACCAGCAAAGAAAATTTCCTTC